TGTCAGGCTCATTAGGCGCAATTGTTTTCATAGAAACGATTAGTCGAAATCTACCTTTCGTTTCCACTGTGGCTGGAAAGCGTTTTTTTTTTGTCGGCGCGCCGCTTCAAATCTGTTCCGCGCGCGGAATTTTCGATATATCGATTCCTGCTCGCCGTTTGTGTCAAAACTATTTTTTCCGGCGCGACGCTTCAAATCTGTTCCACGCGCAGAATTTTCGATATATCGATTACTGCTCGCCGATCGTGTCAAAACTGTTTTTTCCGGCGCTGCACCAGAAAATAATTCTGCGCGCCACTTTTTCGATATATCGATNCGCCGCGCCGGAAAAAATAGTTTTGACACAAACGGCGCAAATATATCGGAAACCGGCGCGGAATCCGGAAATTCAGAGATTTTCATCGAAAACGGGTTTTTTCTTTCCGCGCGCCGAAAAAATATTCCGCGCGCAAGAAAAGGGTTTTGACACTAACGGCGTTCCATACCAAATCTAGGTACCTTGTTGGATTGCGGCTGCGGCAGATTGCGGCATGACTGTTTCCATAAATTACACCATTTCCGCAACATTTCCGACAAAATTGATGATGAAAGTCGCTGTACCGACCTACGTCATCAAAAAAATCCAAGATGCCCGAAATGCAAACACCACTTATCAGTCATTTCATCTTATCATATCAAGTCATGTTATTGAGGAAAAGCTCTAAACGATACGGCACACGATAGTTTTCTCTGGACGCCACCTTCTATTAATTATTCTCTAGAGCCAAATTCAGCGTGTGATAGCGGCATAATACTGTTCTAATCTAATAACTTTTCCTCTTCTACAAGAGGAAACTTAATATATTTCCTTCGAGTTCTCGTGACTATTCGATCTACAGGTAAGTTTCTTTTGTGGATCAATTGTTCAGTAGCTTAGAATCGTGTGAAGAGGCATCAAGGTACTTACCTATTCATTTTTATATTTTTCAATTCAAGATGCTAGAATAATTTTGCTTGGAACCTCCTTTCGTATCACTGTTAACAAAGACAAGTCATCGAGAACTGATTGCGAAGATGAGCAAATGAATTAATTAGTCGTCCAGATCTGGAGTCCAAATTTGATTCCAGTTTGGACAATACCCCCTAGACTGACCATACCTAAACATTCGGAACTCTTCTGTGAGTGTGTGAGTGCATCAGGTTGTGAAGTTTTACACAGGACCTTGTTGGTCCCGTAACCTCTTTCCGGGTAAGGCTACATCTACTCTGGGAGGGCGGCTGGTATCCCAGGGCGCCGTAGGACGATACCAGCTCAAGCGCTCTGGTGCCAAGAGACCCGGAGGGCACGGATCGCATTATTATTATTATATCATTATATCTCCTTTATTCCCTTAATTTTTACATTAAGGTGCAAATCAGGTACACCTTATTGCGGGCCTAAACAATATGCCTTAGCTTTAAGGGGTGGGGGAGGGGGAAGAACGCTTAATGAAGGGAAAAAGGGGTAGTAAGTCTAACATATGTATACGTTTTACATACTTACACGCCACTGAGTGGTAGCGGTGAGACATATTTACACACACTTTCGCACGCGGCTAAAAAAAAGCACGTGTTGAAAAGACCTTGCCGTGTAAAACACTTGATCTACTTGCTCGCGGAAACTTCATGACAACGCATGAATTTCTACGACAAAGCTTGTTTCCTCGGAGTGGAACGGTACACGGATACAGCCCCTAGGTTTTAGCCGTACCACTATATCACGGAACATAAAAATTGATTGGATCTCATAATCACAGCTCTTTTTTTGTTGACAGAACTTTTAAAATGAGCCCAGTATCAAGCTAAGCAGATTGCAAGAAATGGATGGCAAAGGAGACCTCCTCAATTCGGGGAGTGGATCAAGTGACGAGTATTACGGATGGGAGTGTTTACCAGACAATATTTTGCTGCACATATTTCAGTACCTTGACTATCAAAACGTACTGAAAGCAGGACTAATCTGTAAGGCATGGAACCGTATCTCCTGTGATGAGTTTTTGTGGCGGGACTTATTTTACTCGGATTTTAAAATTAATCGAAGCAAAGGCATCGCTCCAGGTTTGTGACTCTGAACACTTATTCATCTGTGTCTCTCGTGTATTCATTAACCCTTAGATGACTGACCGTTTGTACCTGCACGAATGACTAACCCGGGCCTGCAAGGCCCGTATTGAGAATATATGGTAATTTGAGGGCTACAGAGCTTTTTTTTTCTCTATATTTGGATGAATTTTATGATTTTCATACTTTGACTTCTATAACCAAGGTCTCAATTTTTTTTTCCACCCATTGTTTCCCCCCCCCCCCCCCCCAGCCCCCCTAAACATCCCTTTCCTCTCCCCAGTCCCTTCAGATCTAGGAGTAATTCATTGTAAACACTCTTTTATATCTTTTTTCAGGATTTGAGGAAGTTAAATTGAAGGAGCACTATTACCCCCATAAGTATACTTGACTTTGAGAAGAAGGGGGCAACCTTGCCCACCCTCCCCCTTCCCTCTCCTTCCAGTAGCCAAAAAAGTAGTACTTTCCGATGTGTTTATTTCAAAGTTTTGCACTTAGAAGGTTTACGAGGGTCATCCAAAAAGTAAGGTTCCCTACCTTGTATCTTCCGAACTAAAAGAGATTAATCAAATCAGTAAAAACGTACTCATTAGGCATACTCTAAGCTTTAAAACAAGCTCAAGTTTTTGAAAATCGGTTTAGGGATTTGCGAGAAAACTCAATTTTACTGAGACAACCTCCTGTCGCCGCGTGCCCACCTCCGTAGCCAGGATGCGCGAAGAGTCGCTTATTTCAGACGCGGCTTATCACTTCTAAACATCAAATCAAAATGGAATTTAAAAGACTTCATTAAATAGGTCTTCCCTTATTTTTTGAGATAGTCTCCTCATCTTTTTTGACATTTCTGGTACCATTACAGCAGTTTTCTCCTGCCTTCTGCGTGGGAGCTCTCGTCTTGCCTCCGAAACCATGTCATTTCCAGCGATCTGCACTTCCAATAAGTCAGTTGCTTTGCGAGGTAAAATTTTTCCCCAATCCTCCGTACTCTCTTAAGTTAGCCTAAGGTGACTTTTGTCTATTCCCGAGATGAAAAACTCCCACTGTGGAAAGCGATTTCCAACCGATTCAGAGGTGCAGAGCGCTGGCAATGACTGGTTTTGGAGCCAAAAAGAGAGCTTCCAAGCGGGAGGCATGAAAAAGCTGCTTTAATGGTACCAGACATGTCAAAAAAGATGCGGAGACTATCTCAAAAAGTAAGGTAAAGCCTACTCAATGAAATCTTTTAAATTCCTTTTTGATTTGATAGGTATTTAGACGTGATAAGCCGAGTCTGAAATAAGCGACTCTTCGCGCATCCTGACCTCGGAGGTGGGCACGCGGTGACAGGGGGTTGTCTCAGTAAAATTGAGTTTTCTCGCGAATTCTTTAACAGATTTTCAAAAACTTGAGCTTGTTTTAAAGCTTAGAGTATGCCTAATGAGTACGTTTTTACCGATTTGATTTATCTTTTTTCGTTCGGAAGAAACAAGGCAGGGAACCTTACTTTTTGGATGACCCTCGTATTTTTCATTTTGCGAAAAGAAAAGAAAAGTCTAAAATGTATTATTGTACTATTTCTACTAATAAGTCGCTCTCATGGCGCTTCTGTGTGCTCTGCGACACCCAACTGCCACTGACAGCGATCTTGCCAGAGCACCTCCGGCAGAGCGCATCTCCTCATTTCAAGCCTTATTCCCTCAATCCATGATTTGACAGGGCGTCCTCTACGTTGGCGCTCATACGTGTTATGTATTGTTGTTATTTATGGAATACTTCTACATTATTTCAAACTTTTCGACAAGTGAGAGCAAATTTACTCACAGTGAATTATGAGATAAACGTGGAACAAAATTTCTTGTGAAGTTTCTAATGGTTTTCCTGAGGTTTTGCTGTAATAGTTGTAGCTGAGAAGTCATCATGGAGGAAATATACTGCCTAAGAACTGTAAAAGCACCATGCCATATTTTCTTACAACTAAAAGATAACGCCTTTACATACTCACCATATCAGAAGAAACACCTAAATTTAACTGATAAAAACTCTTAGATCGTTAAAAAGTAAGAGTAGATAATGAATTATGATTCCAGTAGTAAGACGATGGACAATATACATAACGATGGTGAAATTCGGCAATCACATAACTCGTTTGCGGTGTCTGAAAATCTCCGCCTCTACGTCATTTTTTTAAAGAAGAACAAATTGATATTATTTCTTGAAGTTTTTGCAGAATTTTCTTCGCATTGAGGAGAAAAATCATGACAGTTTTAAAGAATTGCCATTGAGTGGTTTTCCATTTAAAAAATAGAGTATGACAGGAAGTCTGCGACGTGGTAAACCGAGTTATGTGATTGCCGACTTTCACCGTCGATAAGTAGGAAAGATTTGAGGAAAAACAAAACATAAAAAAAATTACTGAAGATCAAGAAAATCAGACTTATTATTTACTTATTATTATTTTAATTTTAGGTGATTCTTGTAATACGGTGAATATGTTAAGGCGTTACCTTTTAGTTGTAAGAAAATAACGCATGGTGCTTTTACAGTTCTTAGACAGTATATTACCTCCATGACCACTCCTCAGCTACAACTATTACAGCAAAGGTGCTCTGGCAAGATCGCTGTCAGTGGCGGTTGTGTGTCGCAGAGCGCACAGAAGCGCCATGAGAGCGACTTATTAGTGGTAATAGTACAATAATTAGTGTATTTACCGAAGGAAATACACTAATGCGTTCTCCCATGATGTCAGACCTGGACCAAAGACCATGTAATGAGCATCGATCATGGGTCGTAGATTACGAATATGCATGCCGTTTGAATTCATGTTTATATATATATATATATATATTTATATTTACATATCTGTTTATTTATGTATGTATTTCCGACTCATCGTGGTTTTTCCGATTTTTGCTTGGTTATATTTCCCTCATTTTAAAAAATTTCCGGGTGAAACTTTTTGCGATGTAAAGTAGAAGAACAGGACTACCATTCTGCGAAAAAAAACGGAGATCGAAGTATTACATTTCGAATGGTGGGGGCGAGAAGTGGGGGGAGGTTCAATTTTGTTTTGTGGGCGCGATAACTCGCGCAAATTAAAAGCTTTCCCTCCGAAATTTTTACAGAAGGAAGATCTTACTTAGTTCTAGGCTGGTATTGAATTTGAGCGAAATCGGTCGAGCCGTTTAAAAATGGCGAGCTTTGAAAGTTTCAGGCGGGGGGTGTGCGGCTAAAGAGGAGGGAAGCCGCACAGTGGGTCATGATCTGAAAATTGGTGGACAAGACGGCAATGGTGTCGCACTGTGGGTCACGAACTGAGAGTTGGTGGACAAGACGGCAATGTTGTCGCACAGTGGGTCACGAACTGAAAATTGGTGGACAAGACGGCAATGTTGTCGCACAGTGGGTCACGAACTGAAAATTGGTGGATAAGACGGCAATGTTGTCGTACAATGGGTCACGAACTGATGAACTGATAATTGGTGGACACGATGGCTATATTGCCGCACAGTGGGTTACAGACTGATAATTGGTGGACAAGACGGCAATGTTGTCGCACAGTGGGTTATGGAGATTCATCCATCGTCATTCAAGCTTGCCACAGCGTTTGTTGACATTTTTTCATATCAGACATTACATGAGGATTGATGTTGCAATCTGGCGACATGAAGTCCTTATTCGAATAATCAATGCCTCCAACAGTGTAAACGTAAATCCAACCTCCAAACATTGATAACTCCCCGCCCCTCCCTTCGGAAAATACACTCTTCCCGCGATGGACGCGCGGGTCACTTAAAAGACAGAACAACTGAGGCCGGACATTCAAACTAAAAAACGCGCGCGTCCTGGTGGGGGGGCGAAGTCCCCCCAAAAACCGGCGCGGAGCGCCGGTTCTAGACTTTTCTTTTCTTTCCACGAAATGAAAAAATAAACCTTCTAAGTGCAAAACTTTGAAAGAAACACATCGGAAAGTACTACTTTTTATGGCTACCGGAAGGAGGGGAGGGGGGAAGGGTGGGCAAGGTTGCCCCCTCCCTCTCAAATTCAAGTATACTTGGACTGAGTTAAGTAGAAAGGAACCAACCCATATTTTGGAAAAAATCGAGTTATGAGTGGTTTTGAACTCAACCACTGCTCTACTACCTGTCGCCGAAAATTCAAAGTTTTTGTTGGAGCAAATTTTGCAAAAATTGAACTTGAAGCTTATCTTTTACATTGAGTCTTATGCAGGAGCCAAACTTTAAACCTCTTTTGCTCGGTTCGATCCCGATGTGGCTTGGTTCCTTTCTGTTTAACTCCGTCCACTTGTAGGGGTAATAATGTTTCTTCAATGTAACTTCCTCAAAATCTCAAAAAATATATAAAAGTGTGTTTACAATGAGAGGCTCCTAGATCTGAGGGGACTGGGGAGAGAGGGGGGAGATCTAGAGGGGGACGGGGAGCAGTTTATGGGTGGAAGGTCAATTTTGGGCCTTGGTAATAGAAGACGAAGTATGAAAATCTTAAAATTCTTCGAAAACATAGAAAAGAGCATCGCAGCTATCAAATACAGTGGACTCTCGATAATTCGAAATTGAAGGGAATCGTCTTTTTCTTCGAATTAGCTAGGTTTCGAAATAAAGGGAGTTCGAATTAAGGAGATTTATGTGGAGGAATTTCGAATTCGAGAGTTTCGAATGTAGAGAGGCAAATGGACGGATTTACGTCAAAAGGAACCAAAAACATCAGTTTATTTCTTTACGGAGGTAAAAATTACACTAAGTTATTATTAAGTATTAATTACTGTTATTTAATTTTAAAATTATTAATTACATGTTTACATTTTGACAATCCTATCAGCTCTTTCAGACATCCAGGTACCTAAACAGTTGACTTCGAATTGTAGAGAGAATGTACCGTCTTATTTCAAATTATAGAGGGAGGACCAAATTTACTTCCCACACTTCGAATTACAGAGAGAATTTTCGTCGCAATTTCGAATTATAAAGGGCCGCGCCAGCTTAAAAATTTCGAAATATCGAGGGGAGAAAAATACATTGATTTTCTTCGAGTTATCGAGAGATTTTCAAGGGAAACGGATTTTCCTTCGAATTAACGAGGTTCTCGAATTATGGAGGTTCGAATTATCGAGAGTCCGCTGTAACCATACATTCTCAATACGGGCCTCGCAGGCCCGGGTTAGTCTTTCTAGGGGTAGACATGAAAAAAAAATTGTTGTGCCTTAAAAGTAAATTCATTTTTTTTTTCCTCCTTCAAGAATAATGTTTTTCAGGATATTTGTAGAGCTATTTGTGAAGGACAGACTCCTAGGTCAATTACAGCCGCCGTGGCGCGAAAAATTAAAAGCCGCCGGGCCTGAGAGACCCGGTTAGTCATCTGAGGGTTAAGATAACTCCAATAATATCTTTCACCATGGAAAATGATGTCATCAAAATTAATGGTGTTGGAAGATTTCATGGTGATCAGATACGGCATGACTCGACAATGACTTACCAGACTCACGTTTACCAAGCTACGCTACGGCCGGCCATGTAGAGCAAGTACGAATGGGTCTGTTGCACCTATTTTTTTAAATTCATTTTCTAATAAAGTACATCATTCTGAGCTTCATGAATTTTTCCCAGAATTTTTGGACCCCCCCAAACACCCCAAAAAAGCACCCAAAAGTTCAAAAAATTTTGGCGGGAAAATTTAAAACTACAAATGACGGGAGAGTGATGCCATTTTGTGACGTCACAACTTATACCCCACGTTTGTTTATTTTACAAATACGTGGATTTCCCCACAAGGGGTCGAGAGGCAAATTTTCAAAAAGAATTATCAGACTGTTGGAGGCCGTATTCATCAAATTTTCTTGCGATAATAGACTCTTTATACTCTCTAGTTGATAAAAACATCCCTAGTAACTTACAAATCACATCAGATGATTTAATTATTTCCGATGCATCAAAGCATGTCACGAAAGTGAGGTTAAGTTTACAATCTTATCTGGGATACATATAAGTCCTGTTCTCACGGTAAAACTCTCATATAATGTAGTTTTAGGTTCCTTATTCCTAGGAACTATCTGCCGTGGCATGATGCAGCTTTCTGAATCTAATTCATTGGATATTGGATCATTAGATTCTACTTTTTTGCATGAAATGTGTCTTGCTCAGCTGCGCTATCTGACTAGCTGAGAGATCAACGTACTCATTTGAACATATTTACTTGTTTAAATCTGTCCGCTCATAAGTAAATAAGTTGAAAATACCATCAATTTTACGTAAGGTAAGATTCTCTGCCAATCAAGCACCAGCTATGAACTGTTGGAGGTCCTTAATCACCCGTCCGGTTGAGGAGTTACTACCCCTCCGATTAGTCCAGTGCCTGTTTCGATGAATGTATGGTATTTTAATAATTACTTACAACTAATGATGCAAAGAGTATATACAAAAACTATATAGGTATGACATCGGGGGTAAATATTTAAGTCAATAGTTTCCATCATATTTTTAAAACTTCCAATGAAAGGTAGCTGTTGCAGTAAGCAGGACAGATCAGGAATACCTCACTCATACATCATTTGCACTGAAATACTGGGACAATAAGTAATCATTAAGAGTCAAATAATGAATACAAACTTGGTTTTACACAATATATCTAATACATGCGTTGATGTATTTGAGCAAACAGCATCAACTTGACCAGCAAAACCCCCTAAAGGGAGACATAACCACACTTTCGGGACTTCCTTACATGTATTAAACTTTAATATGATGCGATTTGAACATATTCGTTGATAAATATGTAAAATAGAGGATGTGAAGAACTGATATCTGCAAGAAAATTTGGTAAAATAAGTTAAATATCGACCGAAATTCGTTTTAGAAAAACGACTTTGAATTCCTTATGGGGAAGCACAGGTGCGTCGAAACGGCGGGAAATAAGATTGCTGGTTGTGACGTAGACGACCAATGAGAGGCCTCCGTTGGAACTTTGAACTTTATTTAGCTTTTGCAGCTTTAATATCAAACTAAGAATGTTTTTAACCACACCAACCGTTTTCTCGTGAAAATTTACATAGGAATGGCTCATTGAACTCAAAATCCCTCCCGAGTGCAACAGACCCATTTAAGCATTCTGGTGTGTATTCCTGCTTGTAAATTTCATGTAAACAAGATTTGCTCCATGAAAATCGTTGAAATCAACTTCAAACCGAGATAGTAACGTTTATATTCAGCATTCGTTATAAAATATTTGGATCTCCTGCTCATATGGAAAAAACTGGGTCTACCTGAATCAAAGTGCTCCCTACTCTGGTTTCGGCAGGCCTCTCTATAAGCAGCATTTTTTCCTCACGCGCGGTGTGTTGTCACAAGGTAAGCAGCTCGCAATCAGGGTTCGCGAGCCGAGCGGAAGGGAGCAGAGGAGAGGAATCGGCCAAATACTGTTTTCATCGAGCGTCATACCCAGTAGTGCAGGAGCCAACCGGCCAAGCCCTAGGTGGAAAGATGTAAAGCAACTCAACAATTTTTAAGTACCTACCCGTGTGCAACAAGGATCGGGCGGTCTGGCAGCCCAAAGCCGGGGGAGAGACAAATTACGCACCAGTAAATTTATCATTTTTAGCTGGAAAGATGTAAGGATGACAGTTATTTTTGAAGCACTTAAATATATGTCTCCTTTTGGTTGGCTGCAATGTATTCCCTCAATTCCTCCATTCTCTCCCTCCCCACGCGCCCCAACAATGCATCAAGAAAACCACCGACTTAAAATATGCGCAGGGCAGTCTATGTGTTCAAAACTTCAAAAATTGTTTTCATGGGTCTTATAATTTAGAAGAAAAATTAGTCAACACCGCAAATCATACGAATGAAATAATTTCAGAATTCCCTTTGCAGGGAAAAATGTAATATGGCAGGGGAGGGGGGTGGGGGTCGCGCCCTGGGCACCCCACCCACTTAAATCCGGCCCTGTCTAGAATAGGTACATTTAAACCGATCAAAAAATCGTGACTGAAGAATCTTAGAGTTTTCTGTTACAATTTCAGACCAAGTAGTCTTGCTCCACTGAGGGGAGGTAGCTGTTAGTTTGGAGGTCCAATGAGCTTCAAAGGAAAGAAACCATAACTTAAAATTGTAATAATTATTAGGATTACTCATTTCTGACATAGGTGTCAAATGAAACGGTGTTAAACTTTTGGGCTAAAATAAACAATAAGTTCGGGATTTCCTTTTTTCTTAACAATTTTTCCAATATTTCATCAATTTTTCACAAAAATACATAAATTTCAAAATCATATTCGTTATGAAATATTCCATCTCAGCTCATAACACAGAATGCATGGTCTACGCGATTCAAAGTCTTCGCACCCTGAGTTCCTCAGTCACTCTCTTGAAGTGGGATGGATCGGCATTTTAAAAAGGACGACTTTTTCTTGTTTTAGAACGAGGATAAATTGTATTGCATAATGATCTGAGTGAACAATGATATCACTTTTTCAACAAATGCGGCTTTTAATATAGTTGAAGACATGTGACTTCTGACTTCATAGATTTGTTAAATCTCCTATGAGGGTTTTAATTTTTTCAGGCAAACAGTCATGGCTGAGTGAATATAAGCGTTTGATCTATCACTGTCCATCATTACAAACGGAAGTGTTGGAACATCATAGAAATCAAGTCTTACATGTCAGTTTCTCGCATAATGGAAGATATTTTGCCACCTCCTCTAAAGACGCGTCAATTATTGTGAGTATTTTCATTTTCTCTTCCTTGTCCTGAAAGTAAAGTGCAGAATCGTCATTTCTCACTCTACCACCTCTTACAATATTGGCCGCTTCTGATAATGGCTGGGTCACTAACCAAAACGTCAGGGGGGTTTTTAACCCAGGTTTTTTAGCATTTTTTTCGTTTGTTTGTCTTATTTTTATCTTGTTGCACCATCGTGGGCCAAGTGAAATTTTATCTCATCGTAGACCTTAGATTGGGTGCAAATCTAAGAATCGTGATAAACGTTCTCTCACCATAATCTTGTGAAGAACACGATTTGTACTTGAAAAATTATTGGAAGTAACTTCTGACTAAGTTAATTACGTTTTGCCATGCACAAATTTAAGTTTCCCACCCTAAATTTTTGTCATGGCTCCTCTACAATCATTGAGAACTTCTCTTTTGTTTCCAGATATGGAAATCAAGCTACCCTGCAACAAGGAAGTATAGTCATAATATGACCGAATTTAGCTGGATGTACACTCAGTTTTCACAGTTCAATAAGTCTGACACTCTGCTATTGGTCTCAGGAGTTCATTTTGGGGCGCGGATGAATGTTTCGGGCTCAGGAGAAATTGCTGTGTTTTCCCTTTTAGAAAGTAATTCTAAAATATTTTTTCGCTCGTTATTACATCATTTGATTAAAATTTATTTTCCATACTGTGACCAACGGGTTAGAACCATTGAAACTTTCTGCTGATGGAACGGGTTGCAAGGTTCAAGCGGCGGATTAAAGGACCAACTTACAGAAGTGGAGGAGAAAAAAACTTGCATGCGTTATTGAAATTCCAATCTTTTTGGAAGGATTAACAATAACGTTTTTGTTATACAACGTAGTGTCTGTTTTAGCATAGCTAGAGATAAGAGAGACAAACCGATTTATTGGTCAAGATCATTTTCTGGGATTGTCATTTTGGAATTCAATACGCACATGAACGGCACTCCATCTTGACTAAAAAACTAGGGAACACAATAACAAGGAAGGTAAGTACAAACCAATTGATCAAAACAAGTGGACAAGCAAAACAGTGGTGCCTGTTCAGTAGAGTTAAAATTACATTAGTGCCAGCTCAGGTTTTGGACAGAAAAAATAATGATATGACACATTATACTAAGTCTGCTTGTAATGTTTAGAAGCTCTTGTGCTGTTGCAGTATTTTTGCCGCAGCAAAGCAGTAATAATGACATGCAAACATCATTCTTCTTAACATAACTTTTTTTTCTGGATGTTAGGACATTGTTGGTAAATTGTCTGGAAAAAGCTATAAAATCTAGAACTGGATTATTGTATATTGTATACAATATCGTATACTCTACCGATAAGTCAGTCTAACCATCTCCATTCAGTGTTTTCCACTTTTGTTTCAGATGAATTTCGATTACAGTGTAGAGTTAAAAATAAGCCGTACGACATATTTGGAGCATGGTATAGTGAAGCTTATCTGCTCTCAGGAAATATCCACCCACTAGCTCATTTAGTTCACGCCTCAGAACTGTGGTTGAACAAGGCCTCTCAGGAAACTGAATCAGAACATGTCCCCATAACAAATTTACTTTTCAGGTAAAACTTCTCATGAAGACCTGCTATATTCATTTTTGGTGTATTTTCTATGTGCTTTTTTCTCAAAGAGAATTAGCATGAATGCTTAAATTCAAGCAAATTTAATGGTCTTCTAACAAAACAATCATTTCAATGCATCATTTTTTCATTTTTTACTTATTTTATCTTCCGAATGAAAGACAGGAGGTATAAACTACGAATAGGGTGAGATTTTGAAAGCTTTGCTGTGGAAAGCTTTCATTCCCAAGTGCCTTTTCATGTGGTCTCCAGATGAGTTGTGTGGTGCTGAAACGACTGCTTTCTCTGCGATAGTGGTTGTTTTGCTGTTGCATGATTCAAGACGTGGCCCCACCTGTAAGTATTTAATTTCTCTCTCCTCATTTGGGAGTTAAGAGCCTATGAAACTAGATCTCAGCGGTTCGTACTCTAACAACCGGGACCGCGAGTAATTGAAAAAAATGTCAAGGCACAACCCTGAATTCCTGCTACCAAAAAACCCCTAACGCAGTAAATGCTCGCTTTAGTACCCTTTTACTTCGCAACCAAACAAAAAAAGACTGTTTTCTTTTTTGTTTCATTCCCTCTTATTTTTCCTTTTTCTCTCTTGTTTTTGTCTCGTCTCTTTTGCTTTTGCATTATTTTTTTTTTTTTTTGCTGGTGTTTTACCTGGGTTAATGCAAAGCTCGCAGTTCAGGCTGCCCTCTTTTTTTCTTCTCTTTTTCTCCCCTTATGTCTTTTTCCCATTGTTGTTGTTTTTTCTTTGTCAGTTTGTTCGTTTTCTTTTGTTTTTAGTTGGCCCTGCTAGAGATCACAGAGATGTACTCTCTGAATAAACGCTACCTATTTTCATTTTGTTGTCCATTTTGAAATATATTGACATTTTAAGCTCCCCCCCCCCAATTTTAGGATAGCCGTTGGTCATGGCCTAACTGCCGTGCAACGCAAGAACGCCGTAACTCCACCGCCGCGCGAACCGAGAAAATGGCTCTCAAAGTTTTCATCCTTTCCCTTTATCCCTTTTGAAATTCTTGAAGTTTTTTTCCATCATTTTGCTTCTTACCACACTTGTGAGTCTAACTGAATAAAAAACTCGTGTTAAAGGCGACTATTGCTCTCAATGATACTGCGTGAACAGGGATGCCTCGTATTAGCGGTGTTTTTGGTTTGTAGGGCCAGGCCGGCCGCAGTGGTTCATACAATGGCAAAGTGCCGCTCGGCCATCGCTCGGATTTGCAGTGCATCTGCCGTGCCGTGGGCGCTACCTCTACAATGGAAAAACCCGACGCTCGATCTACCTTCAGTTGTCTTTGTGTGATTCTTAAAATCCATGAGCATCAAGCACGTGATTAACCTGCTTCTTGCATTCAATTCATACACCAACCCTTTCCTCTTACCTTCCTTAACCTTTCCTCTTAGTTGCCAAATTCCTACACACAGTTTCCCCTTCATAAAAATACTGTCCAAGATTGCTAGATTTTTTTAATTCCTACACAGCCCTTCGTAAAAAAAAATGCCAAATATCTCCAGATCTTTTTTTAAAATAATTAGAATTCTTTGAATGGATTGATTATATTTTCAAGATCGCTTCGATAGAAAAATTAATTGGACCACATTTTCCCATAAAGAACTAATATTTCTGGCTCATCCATAAAACAATACCTGCATAAGTAATAAAATGGCACATACCTACGTACCTTCTAAAATGAGCACTAAGTAGTTCTCATTTGCAAAATGTGGTCCAATGTCGATTTAGAACATCTTGCATTTTATCAAATGTAGGTTACATAATTTACTGATGCAATCATTAAACTGCCCAATAATGATTCCATAGAAGGACTAAACCGCCAAAAAGACATACTAATCAGGAATTTATTATTTAATTGTCCTCTCTATTTTAATATTTCACGCAAAAACCATTTATAAATAATTCTGTAAAGGGTATATGAAATCAAAGATGTCGCCAAGGGATCCAAGCAGAATGTTACTTCCATGGTTAATTAAAGAGAGTTATCAGCATTTCGATTCAATATTTTCTGTAAGATCAATTAGAATTTCAATACAAAGAACAGAAGAAAAAGTTGAAATTTAAAATGTGTGTTCACATGTGTCAATCACGCCAAAAAAAGGTAACACGTTGACGCGAACATACACGTTTTCAGAAAACACTGACTAAGGGCCGTTCCTGTCAAATCGGGTCTCAACTGCTAGTTGACGAACTACCAGTTAAAGGTAACTTCCAGTTCGACCTGAAGGAGAGTCTTGTCACTGATTTTCAACCTCTAGTTACTGAACAAAGACTACTTGCCAAATAGTGCATTAACATGATTTGTTCCCTCATATCCTTCATCAGGTTGTTTCTAATGTCTGGGAACCCTTGCCGAAAATTCAATTAGCAGTTGAACGAGAGGACAGAACAACCCCTGCAAAGAGGAGGGTGCGGGTGGCGGGGTCCGCAAACCGAGCCCAGGTAGTTAAATCAGGCTCTTTGTGAACCAGTGAAACGCGAAGAACCGGAACGAATGTTTTGTCTGAAGTCCTAGTTGAATCCTAACAGGCAGAAAAAGCCCAGGAATCAAGGAAATAAGGAATAAGGAGTTGAAAATCAGCCCGTTAACAGCCTCTCAACCAGTAGTTGTAAATTGACAAGACACACCAACCTCTAGTTGAACCTTAACAGACAGTCAACTACTAGTTGAATGATTTGACAGGAACGGCCCTAATAGACAGGACGGGTGGAGAAACGGCGAGCGCAGCTTCGTAAAATCGTCGCAACTAGAGTCCCTTTATACCCAGAGTTAAGACAACTCACTTTTGGTTCGGCTGAAAGTGGCCTAAAAAAAAATCCAATTCTGATTGGTTCTCGCTCATGGAGGCCGAAACGAGTGCACCAAGATGGCGGTACCTAGAGTCCCCTTATACCCAGAGTTAAGACAACTCGATTATCAGCTGAGTGGCAGCCGGCCTCAGCTGGCCATGGAGGCCGAAACGAGTGCACCCAAACGAACGATATTGAGGGATAAGGATCAGGAATCCTGCGATGTCTGTCAAACAAAAACAACAACATCAACAAATTGATCAATTAAAAAGAAAATGAGATTGGTTTGTGAATAATTTCTTAATCTATTTTCATTTTGGACCGATGGAAATAACAATTTACTCTTGATAAACCACAATTAGGTAATATTTTCATTATTCTTGTTCACATACGAGGTACCGCCATCTTGGTGCACTCGTTTCGGCCTCCATGAGCGAGAACCAATCAGAATTGGATTTTTTTTTAGGCCTCTTTCAGCCCAATCAAAAGTGAGTTGTCTTAACTCTGGGTATAAAGGGACTCTAGCGGTACCTCGAATGTGAACAAGAATAATGAAAATATCACCTAATTGTGGTTTATCAAGAGTAAATTGTCATTTCCATCGGTCCAAAATGAAAAGAGAATAAGAAATTATTCACAAACCAATCTCATTTTCTTTTTAATTGATCAATTTGTTGATGTTGTTGTTTTTGTGTGACAGACATCGCAGGATTCCTGATCCTTATCCCTCAATATCGTTCGTTTGGGTGCACTCGTTTTGGCCTCCATGGCCAGCCAAGGCCGGCTGTCAGTCAGCTGATAATCGAGTTGTCTTAACTCTGGGTATAAAGGGACTCTAGTCGCAACAGGCGAAAAACACTATATAGAGTACCTGTATAGCGAGAGTATAGACAGGGACGAGTTCTATAGGACGCCGTTGTGTTGTGAGCGGGTGATTGCAGCGCATTCTCGCGTAGGACCCTAGTCAACTCAGAGGATCCTTCCCCCCGAACCTCGACTCATCCATCGCCCGCTCCAAAAGTGAGGTTAAGCCGAAGATTGAAAGATAACACATAAGGCGGCTGAATTCTTGAAAAATAAGTATATTATTGGCGTTTTTCGATCCATTTCGACAAGAATGAGCCTGACGCGCGTACACGTAGAGTGAAAAATTCGATTTTTTGCAGTTATACGCGATCCTACGGATTTTAATGAAGTCCAACAACTGATAACAGCAGTGAGTTGCGAGGGTCCTACGCGAGATAGCAGCACTAGTACCTGCTCACGAATTTTTACATCGGCTCTTACGGGAGTCCAGGGTCCTGTAGAACTGGTCCCTGGTATCCCTGGTATAGACGGATATGAAACCCCGAAAATCCATCAGGCCTTCATCGATGCCTCCGCGAATAAAGTTAGGGCCCAGAAATGCAGCCAACCTATGAATTTCAATTATCCAGAGCGATTTACTAATACAATTGTTACGAACAATCGTTTATAAAGCATGTATGTGACTTTTAGTTTTTGCACAAATTTACTCATTTTTGCGGAAGAACGCTCATTTATGTACATTCTTAGCCATCGTGGTTAGAATTGGAATCTGCAGACTAGCAGTGAAATTTTGGGGGTTAGAAGTTGGTTAGAAGGGTGGCTGCATTTTCGGGCCCTAAGCCCTCCATGAAGCGATCTGTCCATACTCTCGCTATGTAGGTACTCTAAAAAACACCGAGCGCTCCCAAGCATAAACGTCGCAAGCGCCACCTGCACAGTTAAAACGCGGCTCATCCATGCGGCTCCACTGGATGAGCTGCGTTTTTGCTGTGTACCTGGCGGTTGCGGCGTTCTTGCTGTATCGAGGTACCAAGTTCGGTGGATATAAGGCAAGCGGGGGCTCCATATCTTGGAAACTAATGTGGATATCAGAATGCTGATTTTACCATTAAATGCCATACTCCAATTACGCTATTTCCACATCTCAATTTTTTCAAATTTTGGATTTATGGCGTTTTTACGTTGGACGGCAGCAAAATCATTCACAACTTTCCGGAACGAAATTTCACTAGCTTTCAGATTGGTGTTTTGGAGTTTTGCTCCAAAATCAAGCCTTTCCGAGGAAAATTGAAAAATTCGCGGAAACGTCGGAATTATGGAGCAATTTTTGGGGGTTCAGGGTGGTGCTTACCCGCCCCCACCACCATAGAATTTGCGTGGGAAGAAACAAATATTTTCCTACCAGTTGAGAGCTTCCAGGAAATCACCAACTTCAAAATTCCCGCGGGGGAGGGGGGGGGTTTACTGGGTCTAGCGTACCCCTTGCTGGCCCATGGTCTAATGTGGAACAGCATATCCAACTCTGGGCAAAATCCGTNGGGGGGGGGGGATTGCTGAATTTGAATAACTCCTTTCTTCTGTCTTTTTATCCAGTACTATCGGATGTCTCCCATTTTTTCTCCTCTTATTCCAGTTTCCCCCCTCCTTTGACTCTCGTTCTCTCTCTCTCTCTCCTTCTCTCTGCCACTTTCTTCTCCTGCTTGCCATAAGAAAGGATGCATGTGACCTTTGGTTTTTCTTTTAAAATGCCTTTAATGGCTTCTTTTTGCATAGCAATGTAAGTCATCCTCTGTTTCCATGTTTGTTTGGTCCGTTGTTGATTTTCATGAAGGGAGAGTGCTGTGTATTGAAACGCAAAACGTCTCAACTCCTTACATCACTATCCATAGCTGTTTAAACCAAAGAGAAAGGAATTGAAGTACAAAAATTGAGCAATAATAGCAATAAAATGGTGCTAGCCGAGCATCTAATGCTGGACTGACGTGACTGCACCTTCAAGACTGCAGTTTCAGACCCTTCACTACCATGCAGTCATCATCATGTAATATTGCCAGTAGTGGTAAACTCATATCTTCATTTCATCTCTTTTTCTTTTGTTTTGGGAGTTGATAATGATGCTGTAAGTTACTGAAACGTCCTGTGTTTTCGTTTTGAATATTCTGTAGCCTTCTTTCTGCTTTGGGTTTCATCTCTCATTATACATTAGTAGACCATTCGCATTGAAAGGATGTAGCAACCCTTGTTTTAGCTCAGTTTCAATCAGGTCTACCGTGTGTATGCAAAAGTTTTTTTTTTGTTTTTACAGATTTTACAGTATTAATGCAAGTACAATCCGAGCACTGTTGGTATCAAATCTGGTCAAAGCTGCACCAATGCCGTCATCATCGACCATATCAAATAAAATGAACGAAACTTCGAATGATGGAATTCTTAACTTTTCAGAAAGTAACAAGCTTAACCAAAAATGCAGCAGCACTGACAGTCTTATGAGCAATGATCGTGCCTCCTTAGAAGATTTACTCACTCCTCAGCTCAATAGAAATAATTCCAATGGTTCGGATGACAATTTATTTAGCAGAACATCAAATTCTAGAACATTTTCACAGTTGGAAGGCACTAATGATGATGTTGATGCCATCAAAAATGTAGAAAAGATGAAAGAACTCAATGATAACTCAACTGTGAGCGTAAATTTCTCAGAACCAGAAGATTCAGTAGAATCAAATAGTTCCACTGAAGAAGATTTAGCGGAAGAGCCTGAGAAGTATTTAATTTTCACGACTGGTTCAAAAACATGCTATCCACATCAAATTGGATTCAAACAGATAAAACCAAGATCATTTCCAAGACGGATGCCGCAAGGACCCTCATTAGCAGAGCGAATTGCAAACAGAGAGAGAGAACGAGAAGCGCAACACAGGGTAGAACCTAATTGGTTGGACTTTGAAGCTGTGTCTGATCGTTTTGATAAAATAGACCATTGCATTGATTTACATGGTCATGTAATTGGTATGGCTCTCTCGCCTGACCATAGGTTTTTGTACGTGAACAATCGACCATGGCCAGAGAATTACAAAATTGAAAATCCTTTTGAGCCGCCCCCTATTGCTCAAGAAATTGATATTCATGTTATAGACTTGACAACGTTTCAAACAGTTGGAACTATGTTAAGGTCTCACAAGGCTTACACACCGAACAATGAATGTTTTTTAATTTTCCTTGATGTTTCACATGACTATGTTGCAAGTGGAGCTGAGGATAAACATGGTTATTTGTGGGATCGTCATTATGAGGTATGCCTAGCTAAATTCCCTCATACAGATGTTGTTAACTCGGTAGCTTTTAATCCTCAAGATCCTGAAATGTTAGTTACAGCTTCAGATGATTTTTCGATCAAAGTTTGGCGCTCCAAAGCTAGGATAAAAAAGCTGTTGTCTGAGGAGGAAATATCATCTCTTAAACGGTGTGTCTCTATAGCTCACAAAGTCGGTTACATCGAAGATTAACCAGATCAGCCTGCTTTATAGTGTTGTTTTCGAAGGCAATTACACTATCAGTGTAACGGTATTTATTTTTCAAGATTCCATTCAAAATGGGCTTGCTATCATGAAACCTTACGATGGAACATTTCTACACCTTCTTTTAGATTCTTCTGACAGGTAGTAGGGAAAAATTTGATTTGGGTTAATTGTATGACGGAATAGCCCAATCACTGCCTGTCACTAACACCACTACACTGACTGTTTATTATAAGTAGGTGGTTCTTTGGCATCGGGGGAATGATAGATTAGTCAATTGATCAATTGACAATTTCTGAATTTCTGGACATTCCTTGAAAATTTTCAAGCATCACATCATGTTGTAGGAAGTCAGGTATTTTTACACAAAGTTTGAACAATAAACATTATGAAAGAGATTTAAAACGATGTCCGGAGTGAATTTCATCCTGAAATTCAGAAGTGTATAGGTGGTAGCTCTGTGCCTGTTTAGAATAACATAAAGTAGACACCTGTTGTTTTGACTGATTTTCTACCATACCTATTTACGAAGAATTAAATGAAGCAAAAAATTCATTTTCATCTATTTGCTTGAAGCTGCATGGATTGAAAGGTTTCGCTCAGTGTTTTTCTTGACTGATATCAAAGTTTTTTGCAGGCTAATCACTTCAAGATGTTGTATTTGTCGTTTGGTGGGAATACTGACATCAGAAGCCATCAGGTTCCGTTTACTGGTAGGAATGGCGATAATACATTCATCAATTTATGTCCCAATTATAGCTACCCTTGTAGCAGGGACTGTGCGAATTCTCTAACAAAATCTTGCATATTTTAATTGACAAACTCCAAATAAAACTGTTAAAATGTACAAAGAAGGAAACCCTCATTGGGATTTTTTTAACATAAAATTTACAAGGGGTCTTTAAATACAATAGTTGTTTTAAAAAAACTCTTCTCTCATACAAATGATACATTGGTTTTTTGACACTTTTTTAACGTAAATTATACATTCAAAAGTTGTTTTGAAGAATCACATTTTTAAAGAGTTTTGAATCACTTTTTTTATTTACATTGAGGCCATCGCATGAATAACAGCCTCATGTGTATAGGCCGTTATTTCACCCATCGGCCTTTCGGATTCTCTGTACCCTGGACTATACCATGGTAAAGGTAGAACATACTTAAGTAACCGCTGGAGGTCAAAAACCCCTTCTTTCCTGAGTTAAGTCAGGCGTCTGGAGTATTGGGTGGAATAACAGCCTATATGCATGAAGGCCTTTCATGGCCTCAGAGGTGGTCAAATTGGCCCTCATAAGCTCTGTGTACAAATATTTATCGCAAAGAAGCTACATTTTTGACATGAATGCTGGTAAACAGCCGCACAACTTGCAACTTTTTTCACACCATCATACCATTTTTCAAAACAGGAACCACGACCAAACCTCAATCATCACAATGATTCATTGTAAGCAAAAGAGGGAACTAGAAGATGCTGGTTCCCTTTTGGCATTATCTTGTATGGGCAGCATTGGTATTTAGTGTATTTTCCGAAGAAAATACACTATTGCATTCTCCCATGATGTCGGACCCAGACCCGAGACCTTGTGAAGAGCTCCGATCACGAGTCGTAGATCACAAAAATATGTGCCATTCAAATTCACATACAGGGTGAGCGAAAAGTCCCCGACCCCCCCCCCCTCTAACTTTTGAACGAATTGAGCTAAGAAAATGAAACTTTGGGAATGTTCCTACCTCAAAGGGGACCATCTTTTGAGGGGGTCAAAATTTTGGTCCCCCCCTCAGGGGGGGACAGGGGCCCCCCAACTTTTTTTTTTAAATAGCAACCCCTATCTTGTGATACCTCATTCGAAAGAGCATAAAAAACTAAGAATGTTGGCGCAAACCGCCGATCAATATCTCAATTTTTGACCGAGTTATGATAGGTCAAAGGTCAAATTTGACCTATTTTCAAAAAATCATAACTCCGGTTCAAATTATCGTAAAGAAAAAAATAAAACGGG